CTATTTCTAAAAATGAAACCTAAACTCAGTTTTCAGCTCGATTAGTATTTAAATTTAACACAATAACTTTCTTTTCATTCTTGAAGATCAGAAAAAAGTACCTTTTTTATCTAGAGAATAGATACCTTAGATCCAAGGATTTGATACACAGCCCCGGACAGTATCTAGTTGAAGTGTATTAGGTGGGGCGGCAGATCACTGTGGATAGAATTATGGCTCGAGTTTAGGGACTCTCTAAGCTAGTTTTGAAATACAGCCTGGAGTTAGTTGTCCTTCCTATTTTATGATGAAATATGGTCAAACCGCAAACTTCCCTGGCATACAGATACTGTCTCCCTCGTATGCTCAGGAGGCTTCCGAAGTAGAGTTTTGGAATATCTCAGCGTACCTCAGATGTTCTATTCCATTTTAATAATTAATCAGATAAGTCATGAGTAAACGCTCGTTTAAATGTAGAAGGGATTTTCTTATTACATTTTATAGAATCAATATTAGTAATAAATTTTAATCTAATCTATTCTCTCAACATTCTTATCCCACATATATTATTACAGTAAGGCTCGAAATAGGTTTGTACCAAATATAAGCTCCTGTCATGCTCAAATACCATGAATGGGGTACTGTTGGATTCAGAATTTCATGGGGGGTTACAAAATCGTAGTCTACACTTTTTCTTTCTAAAATAAATATCCGGTTTTCTTTCTAAAATAAATAAAGTCGATACAAACATTGTGCTAGGCTTCAATACTGGAAGGGTGGTAGGTCTGTAGATCGATACGGGACATATTGGACCTTGAAGATTTTGATGCGTTCAGCAAGACCCGAATAATTGCTCCAGAACTATCGGATCTTGCGTTTTTAAGCCCAAAAACGCAAACGTTTTCGAGATAACGCAAGGCATGGAGTTCGCATTCACACAGCCTTACGTTAATTGTGGTACTGTCATTGAATACTTGTCTCATTTCGTCGACTTTGATGTCTCTCTGGTCGAGAGAGAAGGAGTTTATATTATTTATCGATGGTGTTTTTGATCGGTAAGCCATATCATCGTTAATTCTTCACCAAATCTGAAGATTGTGCCACCAATTTCGAAGGCTTCTTTCTTCAGGCGGGCAAAATAGTCAAATCACCCCGAAAATTCAGGCAAACAAGTTATGAAAGAAAACAAATTTTATTTGCGAATAACTAAAAAATTACACACTTTCCCCTTATTTATTCGCTTAGTTATGCCCATGATTAAATGAAAGATTACTAAATTCCCTACAGTAGGAAAAAAAAATCATCGAAATCGGACAATTTTTAGCAAAGATACAGCTTATTGAAATTGGTAAACATGTTCACTTCTAAATTAAACATTAAAATATATTAGAAGGAGTTGGTAGGGGCGTGCGGTCAAAGAAATACTATATTTTTAGAATAGGATTTTAATCGTTATGCCGACGTTTCGACACACTTTGTATATCTTCATCAGGGTGTGCTATCGGGTACTGCAGGAAGCAGTTGATATACTGCCATAATGGTGTAGAAAAGGTTGACCGTGGTATGATATGAGGAGTTGGTAGAAGGGTAAAATAAATACTAAATTTTTAAAATAGCTTTTTTTCTTTGTTTTTATGACGTTTCGGAATCACCTTATTATCCCATCTTCAGACTATTAGAAAACAGTTATGTTATTTGTATTTTTATATTATCATCACAAAAAAAAAGTCTGCCAAGTAAGGCCAGTATAGCTTCCTCACCGTTTCCGTTGTATATTACAAGGTATACAATTTTTCGTATGAGAATAAAATCTCTGAGAGAAGCAGAATCGGAATAGCCGATTACAGTTACCCTTCAACATTCAACAACAGTGGGTCATATTTGAATATTCCATACTTGATTATACTTAATAAAAAAATAAATAAATAAATAAACATGCATACTGAACATGAATTTCAATACTGTTAGTTCAAAAGGTCTTATGTATAAATTTATTTATTGTTTTACAAAAGTGCATAAAAACTCAATATTTCTTTATGCTTTATTAGAATAATTTCATATTTTATTTTCATCTGCTATTTTCCATAGTAGTAGACTACTTATATCAGTTGCAGACTACAAAATATCACCTTTAATACACATAGAATTAAAGTTAAAAATTATTACATACGAACTTATGCTCTAATAATAGTATATACATTACCGAATCAAGATTTAATTTTGGAGGAGGGGCTTCAGCACGAAAGATTTATATATATATATATATATATATATATATATAACGATAATTAATTTGAAAAAAAACCACTGCAAATTATTTCTCTTTGATATATTATTTCCAAACAATTATACATATAAAGTAACATTAAATTCCTAGTTATAAATAAAAATAAATAAAAGGTGATTCTAATTATTGGACTAAAATTTTTTTAATCATTAGTAATATGCTAAAAAAAATAGCATTACTTCAGTAACACATTCAGAAATAAAAAAAAAGATAAACCTTTTGCAATAGCACATCTAAAAAAAACTAGGGACCATATCTTTGCTCCTAACTGTACGATTTTGACGAATTTTTTTTTTTTTTTTTAGGAAATTCCGTAAACTTCTAAAAAACCATATACAATATTCACATAAATGTGTATACTTCTTGAGATATTCGGAGTTTAATATTACCATCCCTCGTAACTTTTTTTGAGCTTCTTTTCATTGAAGTATGTAGTATAGATAAATTTAGAGGGTGTAGAGAAAATGACTTTAGCGAAGTTTCATCAAAATCGGTACATTCGTTTAGGCGCTACAGTCTATAGCAACGCAGGTTTTTCGGCTGCCATTTTGAAACTAGAAGGCGAATAGTAATGTCGTTGAAGGAGGATGACCCTCGGGTGACCTCTGATTTTATATCCAAATTCGAAACAAATCGGTCTAGTAGTTTCAGAAAAAATGCGCGGACGGCGGACGGCGGTAGTGTGTGGGCGGGGTAGCCGAATGGGCTAAAGCGTGTGCACTGCACCGCCGTTGCCTGGCAACCTGACATATGAATACAAAGATATAAAAATAGTCACGAGTTCGCGTCCCGGTGCCGGGGGAGTCTTTTAAATCCCCGCCCACACTCCCTGGCCCGGGAAAATCCCGTATAGCCTTAACGGCGAGGAAGGGAAGGACCCAAAAAAAAAAAAAAAAAAAAAAAAAAAAAAAAAAAAAAAAAAAAAAAAAAAAAAAAAAAAAAAAAAAAAAAAAAAAAAAAAAAAAAAAAAAAAAAAAAAAGGACGGCGGTAGTGCACATATAAGAGAAAGTGTTGGACACAATTCAATGAAATTGACACTACATTATTTTTTCACCAAAGTCTACCTTTTATCTAACTTTGAGCCAAATCGAACGAGCCCTTTCTGAAATATTGGCATATCTAAAAATATACGTTTGCGTGTGCGTAAGCGGAAGTGCTGGATGGAATTTGATAAAATTGATATGGGACCATCTAGGCACCAATCAGCATAATCCCTGAAAATTTCATGAAGATTGGATGAACGGTACTAGGTGATATGCCCGTCACATCGATTTGACTACAGACAGACAGACAGACAGACACCGAACCAAATTTGATCCTTGATGCCTGAAACGTAAAACGCGAGTGAAAATTTTCGATTCTGAGCAAAAAAAATTTTTTAATCTCTCGCACGAACACAATGCTTCCCTACCTTCGGTAGTGAGGAAGCAATATGTTTAATGAAAATATAAAAACACAAATAATAAAAATGTTTTGTAATTTCTAGTCTGAAGATGGGATGATAAAGTGATTCCGAAACGTCATAAAAATATATAAAAATTGTTGAGAGGGTGAAGCTATTACTTAATTTTTATTGATATACCTCCGTTACAGTTATCTATTGTTAGCGTAATATTTCTCTAAGACTTACATATTGGAGCATTGAATTTGAATGATGAAAGTGTAATAAAAGCATTCAAAAGTCCTGAAGTTTATAAATTTGCTGTAATTTTATGGTATGCATTTTTACTTTTTCGGCATAAGTTATTATTGTTTATCTGTAAGATGCAGACTTTTTTTTTGTTTAAGGACAAATCTACCACATTCAGTAAAGCACCCATATTTGTAGAATATAGATGTTTACTTTTTTAGAACGGAAAGTCCAAATCGCAATATATAAATGGGATGTTTAATCCCAAACTTAAATATTAAAAGTTTGGTTTAAGAATGCCAACATAATAATGAAGAAACTAAAATTTGAACGTACAAGATAGCTGTTATTTATTTATATTTACTATGAAGTTGATCGCAGCAAATCGCAGCGATCACCAAGAAAACAAAAACAACCAATAGTAAGAGAAAACCAATTTTTCAGCAACGTACCTGAAAACAATTAGGTATGTAATTTTCTTCCAATGTTTTCTGGAACGAAATCTGATAACTGTTTCTTATTTCTATTTCAGTGATAACAAATAGTCCGCGATACAGACCAATTTTTATCATATTATTAATATCCATCTAAAACATAACCGTCTTAAACCTTTTTATTTACAAAAAAAAAAAAATCGAAAATGGGACATTTTCAAACTGGAGATCGGTAAACTTTGTCTATTTAATGAGATATAACATCCATATGCTTTCATTTTGAATCTTTATTTATTGTGATTACAAATTCATTAAAATAGGTGGTCCAAAAATATTGGGCCGCTTAGCGTGACCTCCATCCCCAACATGTCCGAATAACGAGGATATATAGGACAAATGGTCCAATATTTGTATAGGTTTTCTTTTTTCACAATGTTGTGAAAAAATTAACTTACGGTTTGAGTGGAAAGAAAATGGGTATTCGTGAGTTTTTAGTACCTCATTGAAGAACTCTCCTTTTCATATAACTCCAAGAAACTGTAACTGGAGTAGATATTACTAATTCGAATGATTACCTTAACCGTTAATGATTTAAAATCTTCACCAATACTATACATGAATGGATGAATGAATGAAAATAATTTAATCAATATTGAACTATAAACTTACTGAATAGCATCCGGGATCTTGGTAACTAAGGACTTCCTCTTTACTTCTTCAGCACGCTGCTGCCTTTCAGCGGGTTTGCTGTCCTGCTTGTGGAGTACTGCAGGTTTGGTCTTGGAAGGCAGAGTGACCTGCGTCCTACCCAGCTTTTGAACAAGGGTCTTCGGTGGAGAAATGATAGTCGGAGGACTGTCCACTTTCGCATTGTCATCTTCTGTTGCCTTATCTTCTTGTAAGATAGTTGGGGTTCTTGTTGGGTAACTGGTGCGATACTGAGGCCCCTCAGCCGTCGAAGCTTTGAAGGTAACTGAAATAAGGATAAATAGTTTATAATTAGTTAGTTATTATTATTATGATTAATAGGAGTGGGGTGGCCGAGCGAACTAATGCGTGTGCCTGGCAACCCGGATCAAAAATAAGTTGATAAAAATGACAAGGAGATATCGTTCCGGTGCTCGGACTCTTATTAAAAATACTTATCCAGGCCGAAAATGAATATCTGGCAATAATAGTCAGAAGGTATACTTATATACCAGGTATATCGCTGGAAAGCGGAGAATTTTATAAACTAATCATATCTAATATAGAACGTTGTAGAAAGTAATGGAAAGTGACGAAACATTATTAATAATAATTTGTGAAAACTAATATTATTTAACGGACATCACATATTTTCAAAAAAATTAAATGAAATTTACTAACTAAATGTAAACTTCTTTTTAGTTTGAAAAAAGTATTTAAAATTCACCCAATCATTGCAATAGGATTGTTTAAAAAATCATTTCATAGTACTTATCTGAGAGAAGAAGTTAAATATAAAAATATTTCATGGATGTATAAATCATATGTTTATTACCTTGAATACATTTACTGGAGTTCAATAACTCTAGATCTAATATTTTTTTTAAATGATTAAGTATCTACGTCTGTTTATTCCCAATAATTGTCAAGTAACCTTTTAAAAAATTAAATTATTGAATAATTTGATCAATTTTCTCTTTATAAAATCACAAAAGTGTAAAAACTTTTGACCCATATGAGACAATGAAGATATAGTAATTCCTTTATAGTAAACTTTACATTGGAAAATAACAGTTTAATAACTAATAGGCGTACAATCTACAATCATTTGTAGATTGAATATAGAGATATACTTTCAAATCTCTCTAGGCATAATATATAGCTCAAAGACTGGAGTTATGTGTTTTACAAAAACAGATAGAGTACCGAGGTTTTATTGTCTACCATTGATAAGCTATAGATCCGTTAAAAGTGCTTTTCATTTTATAACTGCTCAACATTTCCAGAAAATAATTCCTATTCAAAGTAGAAAGGTAAGTGAAAGTTGTGTTTTGTGATCACCTGATTTTTTTTCATTAATATATTTGACTGAACTTTCTCCACTGAGATATTCTCATTTATAAATTGAGATAGCAGTAGACAGTAGTTAGTGTTGGTATAGAAACAGTTATATAAACTATGTGGAAGTTTCTCGCGTGACCTAGGACGGGTTAATTACTTGGCGTCGAGCTGGAGTAATCCTCATTACTAACTTGATTAGAAGATTTGCTAGGAAAGAAATGGCAACTATTGAGCAGGCCTTGATAGTTGTTGGTCGAGTATTGGGTGGGCCGTGTACATTGGCTCCTCAGCCGGTTGTGGAAATAGTGTTCCATTAAGTTGAACTGCTCATTGCATGCCACCACTTTAGTTCTTTCTTCATTGTTTGGAGGAAAGTAACGGATCTTACAAAGTAGAAAACTTTTTTTTAAATATTTGTGTGGATGACGAAAATACAAATCTAGCATTAATCAAATACAACCGTATCAGTACTTGCTTGAGAGTATTAATCCATTCAGTTTTAAGTAAAACTGAAACGCATAGCGAGGAATATTAGTCCTAAGACTTTTACAATAATTTCAACTTTAAAATGCTGTAGAAAGAGGGTGTGCTAAAGGCCTGAGATTTCATTTTATGACCACTTAATAATAATAACAATATTATTTTATCTCTTTTTCCCTTCAAGAACAATGATATTAAAAAAAAAATATAATGTGTTAGATATTTTTGAAGAAATTAGTACTTGATGGATCCGTTTAACGTTGGAATGTTTTTAATAATAATGAAATATATAAAAATATCTAATTCAGTTGGTTTTTTTTCTTTGTCCATTAATAAAGTACAAAAAACACTGAAGTTTAGTTAAAATAAAATAATGTATAGAGAAATGTCTATTTTTTTTTCTAAATCCTTTAGTATTTACATCTTACTAATACATTTGAAGTTAAAAATTATTTCAATTTTGTTTAGGTTTAAAAAAACAAGGACCTTCATGTCGTTCATCCAGTGCAATAATGAATCATTGAAGAAATCATGCAATTTTATAGAAGAGGAAAAATAATTATTATTATATGAATCAAATTATTTCTAAAATTAAATATACTTGTGTGAAATTCTTCTACCCATTCAAATTTAGCTTATATTAATCTATCACGTCGATTCGATTAAACACTTTCTTTAAACAAATTTTTTTTTTTATTGATAAATATTACAATCTGTCTCAATAAAGGACATTTTAAACAAATTAACGTGATAAAACATATTTCCAAAATTTTACAGTTGCATCGTTGTTACCCCGAATGGGCTATATGTGAATTTATGTTATGAGTTATAACAAATTTATTTTAATAATTATAAAAATTTATTTTAATGTAAATTTATTTTAATGTAAATTTATTTTAGAGAGATAACAGAAAAATACGGATGTCTAAAATATACTTCCAAGCACCAATGCTCGTTAATAAATTAGGTTGGGGAAAATAAATTTACTTACATTGTGAGAAATCTGTCTTTTTAGATGCATCTATAAAAATTAATTAATAACCTTGTCCATGCCTACAACAATAAATATCTGAGGGCAGAGTGGCCGAATGGGCTAAAGCGTGTGCACTGCACCGCGAGTTGGCAACCGGATAAGAGATTTGAGAAGATTAAAAAAGTATGAGTTCGCATCCCGGTGCCGGAGGGGATTTTAAATTCTCCGCCCTCACCCTCCGGCCCAGGAAAATCCCGTATATAGCCTAAAAGGCAAGGTAGGGAAGAACAAAAAAAAAAAAAAAAAAAAAAAAACAATGAATATCTGAGATATGAAATAATTCTTCTTCTTCTTCAACCTATAAGTGGTCCTGGATTCCTAAAACAGTGACCTACATGCGTATCTGTTCTGCCATCCAGTTTCGCACCTTGTAGTGCCAAGAATATACATTCTTGCGTCATGGGCGACACAATCTGCCCATCGCAGTTTCGGCCTTCCAACTAATGCCATCCTGATCGCCAAGACATTGTTGCTGGTTATTATTAATCCCAACTAGACAAACTCTTATACCTGCTCATAATTTTAGAGGCCAAAAGAAACATTGTTACTTGTCAATCACGGAGCTTGGTTTTAGCTTCATAGACAATTATCTTTATCATCAGCTTATGCTAACATCTGTACTGTTCTGATCCACGCCGTACCTGATGTTTGAAGCTGGGAATGTCTTATTGCTTTGTTCAGTGCCACATTAAAAAGTAGGTATACTAGGGCATCCTCTTGCCTTATTTCTTTCCTGCATGGAAATTTTGATAATCTTCGACCTTGTACCTGGACCACACATTCAACATTCTCCAATGTCGACCTTATGAGTCGTATGAGCTTTGCTATCAGGTCATGCAATACTTCATGTAAATCATTATACCAAAAAATTATAAAATTAGATAATCGATTTCTTCCAAATTGTTTGGTCGCTCTGACGGTTCCATCTGGATCCCTAGTTCATCACTTTCTGCACCTATACTCATGGAACGCACGGACATCGATCGTCACTATTAGACCTAATGTATTTGCACAAATCCTGAACGTCTATAAAATATCAATTCGTGCGTTAAAAGATGGTTTTGGTACTTATTATTTAAAATGATTCTACAAAATGTATACAATTTATTAACTTATTAGTGTTCACATCTTACTTTTACATACATCACTGTTGTTGGTTTTTTTCAGTTCTACATCGGAATGGATAGACAATAAAATATGAGGAACTACTTAGTATTTATTAAGAAGACTACCAAAAATAATTTATGAATATAAGATTGACTACGTTCACAAACACAGCATATTTTTTCGCCTGTGCTATCTGTGATTTTCTTTTTTTTTTTTTTTAATCTCTTGATCATACGATTGAGGAGGGTCTCCTTTATCTCACAAATTGTATTGACCCATAATGATATAAAATTATCATATAAACAATGATATTACAACATCTAGAATGTGACATTTGATTTGTGACGAGATCGAGTTTTGGGTTATGAATGGAAAAATTATTTCATACGTCTTTTTTTTAACATGAAAAAATAAGGTAATTAATTCAACTCCTAAAATTTAAAAAACTATATAAAGAAAGTACTTCTCGGATGTGACTCAATACGTACGAAAAAGAGCCGACAGCTGGTTAGTTGAAAGGAACCCCTTGAACATAAACATCTAAAGTTGTATTTCATTACACAAATATGTTAGACATTTTAACAAATATTAGAGTAGTTATGACTGTTAACTTAGCGAAAATTTTAAAATTAAAATAAGTGTAATATAATATTGTGTATGGTTCACACTTTTGGAACAGCATTTTTATCGTCTAGAAAGTTAATGTATTAATCCAACCGGTTTCAATATTCATTGGCAAACAACAACTCCCAAAGTTTATTTATTCATTCAATTTTATTTTCGGTACTTTGGACTGTACTTACAATAATAGGAAGTACTTACTTGGAACATTTATACGAAATTAAAATGTCAAGAACTGACAAGACCTTTTTTTCTTCTCGATACCCTCCCTCGACGTTTCTGGAATATGGCGGGTATAAACCAACCAAGTTAGAATAATCTAGAGGAATAACCAAACCTAAAACTGAAAAGACCAGGGGTTAACCAAAATTTTTGGCTCGCGAGTCATACGTGACCTCCACTAAAAGTCCCGCGCGCGGGTCACATACACATAGTATGCCTCGCGAGCAACGGCTTGATATGAAAAAAAAAAGTTTGTTTTATAAATGATGCTTCAGTTGTCAAATGAACTTTCGAAGAATAACAATGCATGCAATAAATGTAGTGACCTTATACTTGAGTGATTTATTAAATTTAATATTTTTTAAACAATTTTTCAAATTTTATCATGTAATCAAAGAAACTTTTGCCTGGCCTAGAATATGGAACTATTAATTATGGAAACAAATAAATATTAGTTATAAGTTTGTTTTTTCTTTCAAATCCAGTGTGTAATGATAATAACTACACGGATTAATGAAACTGGTTCTAAAAATTCACTTGTAGAAAGAAATCACACTAAAGGAATATAAATTGAAAACTTCAAGCAGAAAAAACCTAATTATCAACAATGAAATCACTACGAAATAAATATAATAAAACAAACAAAGAAATGTTGCAGTCATATTTTCTTTCATTTCAACAGCTGTTGGATAGTTATTGTATTGCGGGTTTGATATCGCGGGGTTTGCTCTGGCTCGTGTATTTTTGAGAAACCACAAATTAATACTTTTCTTTTCACTTTTTCAAATTGTTACAACTGTTTTTTTAAATATTATTTTTTAAAAATCAATTATTCATCAATTTTGTTTGAAAAACATTTTAACAATTTGAAAAAGTGAAAAAATACTAATAATATGAGGGAATTGGAACTTCGTATCTCAGAATGGTTAATCATTGTTCTTTCAATTAAAGAGATATTTTTTCCACTAGTACTCTACTTAGGGTTCTTGTAGTTAACGGTTCTATCGTTCAAATATTCATAGAAGTAATACAATACCGAAAAAGAACCTAACTGAACCTATCATAAAAACTGCAAATCTGTATTCCTACTAAAGGATATTCACAATAATGAATAGTAATTTTTTTATTAATGGCACTTTCATATAAAAAAAATGTTGGTTTATTAATAAGCCCCTTATTTCTTTTATTTCCAATTTAATTGAACTATAACGTAACATTATCCTTCCATTTTATAAAATTGTTGTCTTACGATTGGAAGCCTTTTAAAAATTAGAAAAAAAATTAGGTTTTTATATTTTGTATTGACACGGATACGGACCTTGTGCAAGATTTATGATACATATATTACGTACAATATGTATCAGAGTAACCAAAAACCACTAACAATACAGTTATTAGGTTTCATAACTTTGGAAAAGTCAGTAATGTTCTCATTTTGAATAACAATGAAATGCAAGAAACAGTTATAGCTTAATTTAATATTTTTAAAGTCACAGTTTCTATTTTAAAAAAGTGTTATGGAATGTTTTGAGGTAGGTATAAGAAACTATTAGCAACATTTAAAAAATTTATGAAACATTATGTTATGAACTAATAAATGAGGTTCCAACGATGATCGGTTATGATGATACTGCTGGCGGTGTCTCTTTGGTTCAGCTCTTTGGATAACAGAGCCAAAATTGTGAATGTTATCCAGAAACCTATCAGTTATACTTAGTTGTAATTGTATGTTACTTGCCTAGAAAGACTAAATTTTCAGGTAAGCACATACATATTACAACTCCAGACACTTAATATTTATTTTTTCGAAAACCAGCAGATTCCTGAACAAACGCTCAACATTTAACTGTAATATGTTTCCTAATATTTTTTTTTTTGTATGTTATATATATAGTCAATCTCCTTCCTCAGGTCCTGACCTAACTGCAATAAGAGCGTCACAATCACGTGAATGAAAAGTGCTAATTTTAAATAACAGATATTCTTAGAAAATCGAGTTTTCACAATCGAAAGGAGCGTAGATAACAATTTAAATTGCCGTTAATAAAGAAAAGAGATTGAATAAACCAGATTTTTATTTCATAAGCTATCCTCTTTGTACATCGAGCATTTTTATTATGTGACATCGTCACATATATTATTACAATGAGGCTCGAAATCGGTTATTAACGAAATATAAGTTCCTGTCATACTCAAATGCCATGAGTGTGGTATTATTTTTTCTAAAATAAATAAAGTCGATATAAACATTTCGATATGCTTTAATATTAGAACGTGGAGTTTAAAGATTTTGATAAGGACACCAAGACCGTCTAAGTTCCCTTAAAACTTCCGGGCCTTGCTTTTTCAAGTCCAAAAATGTGCCATTTTCGATATTATGCAAGGAAAATGGTTCTCAGCCACAAAACCACGTTAATTGTAGTGCTGCCATGGGATACATGTCTCAGTTTCTCACAGGCGGATCTACGGGGGGAGGAATGAGGGGGGATGAGGGAGGAGAGCCGATGAGGGGGGGGGGCTTTCGGGCTGAAGCCACTTGATCGACAAAAAATACATTTTTAAATACATACATTTTTAAACGAAATTAAATATTATATAATTTAAGACCAATACAGATTTGGTAAGTTTAATAGTTATTTAGATACAGGTTTTCATAGTTTTAGAAATTTTTCTAACTTGAAAATTTTAAGCTAGTTTTCATGCATGATCATATAGAATTGTTCTTATATTTTCATAAACCTGTCTTAAATGTTTTAGTGATGTAAATCTTTATTCATTTTAAGATTTTTAAAGAGGGTTGAGGGAAGGGCGCAGATTTGGTGGGAGATCACTTTTCACAACCAGAAGACTGGATTTGAAATAAAAAAATATTTAAAAAACATTTACATCAAGTCCATACAAAAAATGTAAATGAAGTGAATAAACCTTTCGAAACTTGAAAAAGCTAATTTTCTTGCTTATGACTTCAATAAACTGCCTATAGGAGTAAGTGAAGTAAACATTTATTTAATTTATTATTTTGAAGGAGTAAGATACATGGATAGAATAATGGCAATAAATAACGAGAGATATAAACCCTATGTTGATTTATGTGAATCTAATGTTATGAGCTAATTTATAAAATAAGTGAGCCATTTACTTTCAAAACTCTCCTCGACTCAGGAATTTAATTTCAGAGAGGAGTGTTAGATATGGGAAAAAAGAATAGCAAAAGACATAGTTATATAAAAAAGCGACGAAGAAAGACTGATATAAAAAAAAGAAATTCTGCGATTAGTGTTGAGTAGATCTAAAATCTTGAATGAAAATATAACAAGGAACTGATGAAAACATTATTTGGGGGAAGCAATAAATATAATAATAAAATAAACAAATAAATAAGAAATATGTAGTAGTCAGATGAAGAGATTAATACAATAACAACAAATGTGTTCTATATTTAATTTAAATCTTGCGTTGACTTTGGAACACCCTTTATAACCAGAAAATAGTTTCAAATAAGGCTTCCCAAACTCCTCTTCCCAAGAAGAAATATAATTTCAGCACTTTTAATAATTTTGGTAATGACGAATTTTTTTTCAAATTTTTTTTTAAAAAAATTTTTAGGTGAAAAAACTTTGAAATAATTTTTGGGTCCCTCTGCCGCAAATGCGACAGAGAGCCAGAAACACCAGCACATGTGCTTGGAAAATGCCCTAACAACTTCCTCCTTATAACGCGCCGTCACCACAGAGTCAAACATGAACTGATGAGGCTCCTTGAAGAGAGAGAATACGCCTGTTTCGAGGAAGTATATTTTGTATAGATACGGATGGATCCACCCGATATGCCGACATTGTAGCATTCCCTAAGACGGGAAAGTCGGCGATGATTTTGGATCCGACCGTGAGATATGAGACCAACAACCTCGATCAGGCAGAAAAAGTGGAAAGGGAGAAAAAACAGACATATTAGAAATGCATCCCTTTCCTTAGTGAAAAGTTCCGCGAGAGTTTCGGGCCGAGAGAGTTCCACGTGAGAGGCCTTTGGTTCGGAGCTCGCGGAACGATACCAGACTCAACAAGGAGCTTCATGGAGGGCCTTGGTGTCGACATAAAGGACGTGGCAAGGTTGGCAGAGAGTATAATCCTCGACTCCCTGGGAATCATCCACCACCATCATCCCACCAGGGAGAGAGTTTGCTCGCGGGGGAGAGGCATGCGTGTGTTACAGCATTTTTATATTATTATTTGTTGAACACGTCCACTGTACTTTATGTATTTTTTATGTATTAGGTTAGAAAGAGAGAGGAGAGAATGTGAGGAGTGGGAACATGTATAGGGGAAGAGAAGGAAGAGAAAGGGTACAGAATGATAATAAATGAATGAAAGAAATAGTAAAAATTATAAAAAAAAAAGGAGAAAAAAAGGGGGAAAAAAATAATATATATACATATATGTATAAAATATTGTATACTATGCTCATACATATTGTTGATCCTATATAATTGTATAATAATTTTAAATAATCTCTGTAGTGATTAATAAGTATGCTGTGTTGTTAGCAACCCAATGTAATTGGGCAGCACCATTTTATTTTATGATAATAAAGTGATTCTCTCTCTCCCTCAAGTGCACATTTATCATCATAATGCTCATAAATCTTGAAACATATTTAAAATATATACTTTCTTTACAGAAACTACCAAAATTTCATTTGTGATTTCAGTTTAATTTTTAATTATATTATGTATATAATAACCTAATCAAATCCAACCAATTCTTGATATTGGCAGTATTAGGGTCAGTACTGTTGTCCTTTAATTAAAGTCATGCATAATTAACCTAAACATTATAAAAAGTATAATATACATATTTGATGTGAAGAGCAATGATCTAGTCACCTGCTTTGAGAGGCCGCCTGAGAGAGAGGACCGGCGGAGCGGTGGGCGGAGGGCTGGGGGGAGCGGTCACCTCGGGGGTGGGCGGGCAGTGCACGGGCCGGTACAGGTCCTCCTCCTCTTCGGACTCGGCTGGGCTGACGAGGCTCACCATGGTCACCACCTCGCCGCCCTCCACGCCTCGCCGCGGCTTCCGCTGCTGCCGCCTCCTCGGCGGGGCCGATCGGGACCGCTCCGCCGGCGGGGGTCGCGCTGGCTGCGGCGGGGCCGACATCAGTCGCGGCCGCGGCTCCGGCGAGCAAGTGGTCGGCCTCTGCCGTCCGGCGGCTTTGAAAACTGCACGTCGAGCGCTTGCAGAGAGCCGTTGTTGCTGGTTCTGTTGCTGTTGCTGCTGCTGGGCCTTTTGTTGTTGTTGCTGTATCTGTAGTTGGGTTTGCTGCTGGGTCTTTTGTTGTTGCTGCTGTATCTGTAGTTGTGGCTGCTGCTGTGTCTTTTGTTGATACTGCTGCACCTGTTGTTGCTGGAATGGTTGTTGAGTCTGAGATTGAGTTGATTGGATGTTCGGCTGCGCGCTTACTGCTCGAGGAGCTGGTTCATTGAGACGTTCCGTAGGTGGGTCGTCATCGCTCTCTGATTCTGATGAACTATCACTATTGTAGTCCTCTTCATTCGTCTGTAAAAGGCATTAATGTTAAGCTGAGAGAACAGAATATAGATTATTGTAATAATAATATCAATTTTACAACGAATTTGTTTAATCTGAATAAGCATATCCATGATTACAGTCTTACTATTTCTTGAATAAATGTTTGACAAGGAAATATCAGTACCTATTCAACCGACAGGTTTCAACACCTCTTTATAAGTGCTGATTCAAGTATGGACACCGTATTCCAGAATCTATCAACGGTTTATAGAACATAATGCCAAAGTAAAACTAGAATCCTACACGATTGTAATTATTTTATTGTAGCCAACCGGGAGCCGATCTGGACCTAATTCTTACCTCCAGGTACAGTGGTAAAGCGGGGATCAAGAGATTTCCTTTAACTTCTAGACTACTGTCTTTTTTTTAAAGGAATATGTTTGAGTGGAGCTTAATAGTTATTAGACTAGAAGATTTTTCAAGAATACCTTTATAACGGATACAAAATATGGCTGGAAAGGTTTTGATACAATTGTTAATTGTTTGGAGGATATAAGATCAAGAAGGAGAAATTATATTGAGGTATTAATAACATATGGGAATGATTAATTTTCTGAGTCAAGATGTTTACACACGTCTTATCGTATATATCAAAAGTCAATTTATTATCGCAACTTGAGGAAGCACTTTAGATTTAAGGACCTGTCCTTCACTGTATATTATTTTTACAAGGACCTAATTTCGACCTAATTAAAATGTTTATACTTATCAGACGAAATATTCGAAACAAAATATCGAGCAACTTGATTCTATGTATAATTATTAAGTAACAAATTAATAGTGTAATTTTATAATTGTTGAAGAAAATCCATCGTAAACAAAAATATTTACGAGGAAAGTTTATCGATCCATAACGTAGTATACATGGCTGAGATTGCTAAGACCAAGTGGTTATAACTTGGATTCTTAGTAAAAGAGTTTTAGATCAATAAAAGTTAAGACTCAGGCACACAGAACGCGATCTGTCACGGATCTATGATATCGCTTTCGCCGGCAACTAGGCAATTGTTAGTCTAGTTGTGTTACTATCTTTTATACTATTAACACATCATAACATTTCAATGTTACACAGAGTGCGGTCTTCCACTGCGATACAGACAGAAGATCGCAAATCACCTATGCAGATCGCATATGTATATATTCGAGCTCCCCCAACATTTTACACCAAAGAAATGAGTCTCTGTGAGCGTTCTCGCTCAGCCTTTGCTGGCTTTTATGTCAGTCACTGGTTGAGACAGAAGTAGTTGGATCTCCTCAAGTCCTGCTTTTTTCCTCACATGTGAGGAAAAAAGCCTGCTCTGAAGTTTCCCTAGCAGTTTGTAAATATTCTATACGGCTATGCCTATGTTTAATATGTTATTTAATTGCTGTAATTCAAATGTTTTTTTCCATATTATTTAATTATTCAGTAAATAAACAGTGAATAAACATATTTCACGTTATTACCGTTATTATTATTATTTTGACAAAATAAAACAATTTCAAAGGAAAAATGAAGTAGTGACCAATTTATCTAATATGTTAATTTTTTTCTAACCCTCTATCATTTATTTTCGGATAGTTTACAATATATACATTGTTAACAGTAATATATACTGTTAGCAATGTATATGTTGTAAATCACCAGTAACAATAATACACACCGTTATCTCTGCAATAGATATTATAAAAATATAAGTTCATTGATTATTCAACCTTATCTATCAATGGTTATAATTTATATTACAAGAAATTGATTATTGGTTAATATTATTTTTTCTATCTTTTTTTTTTTTTAATTTCTACAGTTACGTTCGTTAGAAATAATGAGATAAATATAAAAAAATATTGGAAATTGAATTTATAAACATCAATAATTTTAACTCACATTATACACTGATTGGGATCTACGTAATCCGTTTTTAAAATCTTCTTCTCCGGGTGATTCTGATCTTGCTTCAAAACTTTTGTTTAAAAATATGTTGAGGTTCTGTCGTCCTTTATCTGAAATTATAAATAACATTTAAGTATTATACAATACAAATAATAATTATTAATACACATTTGGCAAAGTTATACATAGCGTTTCCAAGTCAATTTCATCCTTTTCCAAGTCAAATTCAACCTTTTCCAAAGAAAATTAAACTTTTTCCAAGTCAAATTCAACCTTTTCCATTTAAAATTAAAGCTTTTATTATTTATTTAATTATTTTTATTTTCCGATTTAAGAGTGTATTCTTATGTTTCCGGAGCCGTAAATTTCAAAATTACCAGGCCACTGTGTTTCGGTTTGTTTAAGTTTTTTTTCCTTCGAATTTAAAAAAAAACACGGTACGTCTCTCTTAGCGGGTAGAGTCCGACTGCTATCCGCCAATGTTTATAACCTTAACACTGATAAGCTCTTCGTATTCGTATATATTGTATTATATTCATTTTATTATGTGTTCGTATTCATATTGATTGTATTGTATTGATATTATTGAAATTGTGAACAAAAACAGAAAGAAATGTAATAATAAATGCTTTTATTTCACAACGTATATTTAAAAATACTTTTATTTCACAAGGTATATATTAAAATATACCAAAACATAAATATATTGAAAAACATAAATATATACCAAAACATATATATCGTAAAAACATAAATATATACCAAAACATAAATATATAATTAAAAAACATTACGAAAACATTGCAACATATATACAAAAATAAATGAAATAATAAAAATAGGCCAAAAATAGACAAAAAAGGATTAAATAATAAAAAACTACTTTAACAGGATATGTACATATAAAACAAAGATTATGAATAAACGATGGAAACAAAATATGAAACATATTTGATATTTGATATTTGATAGCCTCTTCTTCCGAAGACGGCAATTCCCACAATGTGACAACATTCATAATTCCAGTTGAAACAAAACAACACAATATTAACAAAAGAACACAATATAATACTAAACAACACAATAACTTAAAGAATACTAAAGAACAACTAAACTAAAGAACAAGAAAAACTAAAGAACACAATAACTTGAGAAACGAGATTGGGTCGATAAGGGAGGTTATCTGAAACGAGATGGTTATCTGAAACGAGATTAGATAAGAAGGAAGGTTTCGACTTTACCCGCTAAGAGAGAAGTACCAAAAATACTATGGATTAACTTATTTTTCAGCCAAAATAATTACAATATCTATTTACTCATTTTAAAATTTAATTTTGGTTTTCTTTTTTAATAATGTGGTATCCTATTACAAAATTATAATTCAAGTGAGTAACTCAAAAATCTGAAAATGGTAGGTTAAATTTATTATCAGTTGCTTTTTCTGCTTTTTACTTTGTGTTTTGTGGTTAATTTAACCCTACTTCATAATATTCGTAATCTTGGAATGAAGATTAAATATTAGACAAATTTGGATAATAAAGATTAGATAAGTTTCAAATACTACGTCTCCTAGCATATAAGTAAGTGCTCATATCGAATAAGGCCAAAAAACGTAAACCAAAACACAGTGGCATAATCTTAAATTGGAGGTCATACTCAAAAACTACGTCTCCCATGACATATAAGTAGATATCGAATAAATCCGAAAATCATAAATAAGTCGAAACGCAGCGGCATAATCTTAAAATTGAGATTATTTTCAAAAACCAGACACACGATAACATAGTACTAGACCCATATATCGAATAAATAGGTACAATGAATTGATATCCGAAAGTTTAACATAAAATCAATAGTATTTCGAAAAATTCTACATAGGGGAGCATAATAATGGACCCTCATATTGAAAAATGGCCCTTATTTCGATAAAAATAAAATATTTACAAAAAAATCAAAACTTTAATTTGAAATAGAAAAGGTTGAATTTGAATTGGAAAATGTCTAATTTGAAGTGGAAAAAGTTGAATTTGACTTGAAAAACATTGAATTTGACTTGGAAAAACAGAATATGACATGGAAATATTCTACCGAAAAAAATCTAAAAAGTAAAAATAAATGGATATGCAAACGCCTTATCACATTTTTTTTTTTTTTTGGTATTTTTCTAAAGCTATGCCTTCGATAATATAGCAAGTGACCTTATTTCGAAAATTTACTAAAATTCGAAAGTTGAATTTGAAATGGAAAAGGTTGAATTTGAAATGGAAAAGATTTAATTTGACTTGGAAAGGCTATAGATATATAGTCATAGATTTTTAAAGATACTGGTGTAACTCTGATTATTATTTTTGTCTTTGTTGAAGGATGGATAGCAACTCATTTATAAAACTTTATATAAAAAAATATTTATAAAAATATCTTGCTATTTAGGGAATAAATAAATATTATCTAGAGAATCAATATACAAAGATAACTGATAAATTGTTTATTTCAAATTTATTTTTGTTTTGTTGTATTGTATTTACTTATAAGTAATAAATTTAAAAAACTTGAGGAATAAAAAAAAGAAATTGTTTGTGCATTTTTATCCCTTTCCACAATGAAGTACATCCAGCTACACTACTATTATCTTCTTACTTTATTAGTTGTCCGTGCCAACCAATTTTCTTCGAAAGTTACATAAATATTACTTATAGTTCATTATGTATCAATCTGAATTGCAACGTAAAAATTAAAGTCAACATTACCTTGTCCTTCTTTTGCTATTGCTTTGTTCCAACCAAGCTTAAGACGTTCGGCAACCTGCCTCCTGGAAATATTCAAACAGGAATCATTTCTGACAGAAGGGCTGCGAATCGGTCTTGGTGGAGTTGGCTTCGGCTGCCCAATTTTTTTCGCTACAACTTGGACCTATAACAAATAAAAATTATGTAATAATCTGTCTAACATATAAATATAACTGTTGTATAGTTCTATCACATTATGTAATCAACTATTTATTGATTTTTGGCCGTCAGAATATTAAACTCGAAATGAAAAACAATGTGTCATTAAACGGGACCCCACTTTAAAATATGCCAAATTATGTAGTAAGGATATGAAAGAGAGTTAAAAAAAATAACAAAATGCTATTCATGTAAAAACATAAGATGATAAATCCATCGAGGTAGCTAAAAATACAAAAAAGGAAGTATACCTCAGGGGCAACTCCATTGTAATAGAGTGTATACAAATAAATTACCGTTTTTCAACCAAATATTTGTATTATTATTTCTTTGATATAAAATACAATTAATACTCAAAGTATATCCATTGTTATCTGCCGCCATGAGCCATCTACTAGCCAATTGCTCGATCCCCCGCTGATAACATTCTTTTGGATGGCTGTCAAAAAACTCTTAGACCGCAATTTCAACTTCCGCAAAATTTTCTCTTCAATCAAAATTAATTTCTCGGCTCGATGACCTTTCCTCAGATCACAGTTCCTTACTCCTATCCTTTGACCGTACCGATTCCCAAATTACCTCCATCTTCATTTGCCAGCTAATTGGACCCAGGTAATTGGGACCCAGTTAATTGGAACCTCTTCCGTCAAATAGTGGATAATCATATGGACCTCAGAGTTTTCCAAAAAACACCTGAAGACCTTGAAGATGCTGTGCACTCGTTTACTACCTCTTCCAACAAGCAGTTTGGACTGCATTCTCACCTAATCATTCCCCAAAACACCTAAAAATGAACCCCTTACGATGGTCTAGGACCCTCTGGCAAAGTACCAGGCATCCTGATGATCGGAATCAAATAACTATTATTCCGAGCAATTAAAAAGTAAAGTAGCAACCTTGGTGTAAAGTAGATCCCAATCCTACAATCCCTACCTTTCCACACTATCTACATGTGATAACTCTCTTTTAGACCTTACAACATAACCTTAACATTCCATATGTCCTTGACGTTATCATACGGTTGAAGGTATCATAAAGGTAAAACTTAGCTTATTTTATAAATCGAAAACTACCCATAAGACTCACCTAAATTCGACAGAATTAGAAGTAGAAGGGATAGTTCTACTCAACAACATAACTTCAACGAATAAGAAAGGTCGAAAAAGAAGAGGGGAGCAAAGTTAATTGAAAATATTTGTTTGATGGAACAAGAGGATCTGAAAGAGTGCCTTGGAGAAGAAGAAAATCCAGTGGAAACATCTGTTTGAGAACTTGAATGAAGTACGTAGCGAAAAAGGAAGAAATCGATCGCTTGGAAGACGGAGGAGACAGTTAAGAAGAAAACAATTCGAGATGATGGCGGCACCAGATACCACCAAGAAGTAGCTGAAGACTTAAAGTGATCATTTTCAGCCAGATCCTACTCAGGTAAATCTGTGTTGGCAATTTATAAAATATCAAAGTTATTAATCTTAACCGCATTAGCATCCCCAATGCAATTTTACACACCTTTAGATAGGAAATAGGATATGAATTATAACTCAATATATCTCAGAGTAATGATGTAGAGATGGTTGACCGTTGATATAATATGAGAAGGAGTTAGTCGAGGGTGCGGTCAAATAAATAAAAAGAATTAAAATATATAAATTATTTTAATTTTGCCGACGTTTCGACCCACTTTGCAGGTCGTCTTCAGGGCGTAGGATGTGGCACTGCGGGAGGCAGTTGAAACACTGCCTGAAGACGACCTGCAAAGTGGGTCGAAACGTCGGCAAAAATTAAAATAATTTATATATTTTAATTTTTTTTATTTATTTGACCGCACCCTCGACTAACTCCTTCTCATATCTCAGAGTAGGTGAATTTTGATATTTAACATTGCTATAGGAATAAGCAATGTTAAATATAATCTGTAGACATACGTTCAATATACAATAGTAATAATAAATCATTGCCGTTTCTGAATCCCACTACTCACCTTGAAAAACGGATAACCAGAAACGTAGCAAATTTAAGCTAATTTTTTGGTTATCAGATTCATGTGATGTTAAACAAATCACGTTAGGCAATCTTATGTATTGAAGGTATATGTTACAACTTTAACAATGATATAAGAACTTACCTGGGATTGCTGCTTCTCTGCGGACTCCTTAAAGCTCTCCTGCCACGCCAGGATGGGCCTGATCTCGGACGACTGCCGTCGGAGCCTCCTCCTTCCAGTCTCCTCGAGGGACAGCTGCCTCCTGCCGGCCAACATTGTTCACCTGCTGCCAACAGAGACAGAGCACCTACACAACACTCAAGAGCCGTACAATTAGTAAAACCTAGTGTCCATTGTTCCATACCTCCAGGTCGCTTCTATAGCCCCTGATATATCACTGTACCTTTCACAATACCTCATGACAATGAGCTGCCATTTAGAATAGACGTCGATATAAAAAAGAAAGCCAAAAAGAACGCTAATGGTTCAGTATTTATCGGCTCTTTCAAGAATAATAATCAATAGAACGAAACATTCCCATAACCCTAATATTCAACCAGGTTTAAAAAAAGTATTAGAGATAAAATAAAAATCGGATTGAGAATACCTACTTAATAAAACTTTATTCCCGATTTAAATTTAGTCTGTCCATTTATTCGAATTTTGATCTGATGCACTTCAACTAGGGGAGAAATCATGAATAATAACCAGTCTATTCTTCCCAGATTAGGAAAGTCATCATTTGTTCTGTGGCCTCTGACGTGCCTAGAAAGAAATGACATGGAGTTACACCATCAAAATATTTAGAGGGGCCCATTTTTACAGTATTTTTTGAATTTTTGAAGTGATACATATTAAAGTGTACCATATTTTTGTGAGATATCAAATTGAAAAATCTTTTATGCTAGGAAACAAGGCAAAACATTAAAATATATTCTTCTTCTTCTTCAATGGGCGCTCCAGTCCTTGTAGAACCTGGGCCTCTACCACCACTCTCCTCCACTCCTCACGGTCTTCAGCAAGATTCCTCCAATTTCTGATCCCCAGTCTTCTTCAAGCCTTCTTCCAGATCATCCAACCATCAGTGTCTGGGTCTAGCTCTTTGTCTTTTCCCTCCTGGAGTACCATTCAACATCATTTTTGGAAGTCTACTGAGATCCATTCTTTCAACATGACCCATCCATCTGAATCTGTCTTTCTTAATGACACTAAGGATGTCTGGCTCTCCATATAACTCCATTAACTCTGTGTTGCTTCTTATTATCCATCTATGCTGCTCTCTGACAGCTCCAAAGATCTTCCTTAGCACTATTATTTCCCACACCAGCAAGACTCTACTGTTTTCCTTGGCCATAGTCCACGTCTCACTGCCATATAAAACGACCGGTCTAATCACCGTTTTATATATTACTATTTTTGCCTTGCTGGACAGACTTTTGTATCGGAGCGCCTTTTGTAGAGCATAGGAACATCTAGTTCCTGCAACCATCCTGCCTTTTATTTCTGCTTCCATATTATAGTTTTCCGTCACTACTCCGCCCAAGAACTTAAATTTATCACAGTTGCGAAACGTGTCTTCTCCCAATTCAACAGTATCTCCTCTCTATCTGGTGTGTCGGGATGTTTTCATATACCTCGTCTTTTCCATGCTTATAATGAGTCCTAACTCTTGAGCTGCATTCTTGAACTCTTCTATAGCGCCGGCTAGTGCTGCTTTAGTTCTTCCTGATATAACAACGTCATCAGCATATGTCATGTGTTGCCTAGCCTATTATAGATGGTACCACCAGGGTTCGTCATGATTTTCCGAATTGCAACCTCTAAAGCGAGATTGAATAGTATAGGAGATAACGGGTCTCCCTGTCTTAAGCCACTGTTAACCTCGAATCTATCTGACATACCCACTCTGGTTTTGATCATACAGTCCTGTCCATGGTCATTCTGGTCAATCTTATTAGTTTACTAGGAATCTTCAGTGACTGTAAGGCTTCCAATAGCTTACTCCTGTTCACACTGTCATAATTAATATATATATGTCCCAAACAGACAACAGTAAAAGTAATTTCAAATGAAATATATATTTCTGATTCTACTTTTAAGAGAACAATAGAATTTTGGCAGGAGGAATGTGGCTTTTAATTGAGTATATATAATTAGTTAAGATGAATTCATTTTTGTTTTTTTAAATTTGTTTTAAATTTAATTTAAATTTGTTTGGTTTCAGAGGAAATTTTGTTCTTATTTTGAGATAATTAGTTCCTATTTTCAATTTGGCCATTTAGCCCTGAAACACCCTGTATAAATAAAAACTTATTTAAATTCTTATACAAATTTTCTTTTCTTCGGTAACAAGCATCTATCAGAATCAATCGGTAACAAGCAATATCAGAATCTAGGAACATTTAATTGAAACAAAAATCAACAGAGATTTTTATGGTGTACAAAACATGATGTCTGTCATCTCGTGCAACCCACCGTGTTGGAAAAATCGTGATTGTATATTATATTATGACCTTTCAGAAATTTTGAAGAATTTAAAATCCTCCCCACTTCGGCCATATAGCTGTTCCGGGAATAGGAAAATTAACTAGCTTTGTTCAAAGGAGTTTTCATAAGCGCTTTATCGCGTGGAAATTCTTCGAACCCAGAGTATCAACCAACACCAGTTTTTTAAACTATGCCAAGTTAGTTTTCCAAAGTTAATTTAAAAGCCATTAATAAATATTCACGCTAGGACATCGATCTGGAAGAGGCCTCGTTAGGGGCGCTAAGAAGAAAGGGAGATTGTTTACATTACGAGCTTCCAGGAAGTCCCAGTCAATGAACCTTCCGCTACTTTGCGTGCAGGGTAAGCACGTCATACCAGGGGCTTGAATTTCCTCAATTACACACTTTCTGAGTTATTATTTCTAAAATTTAAGTTGCACGTTTCTCACACGCAGCTGTGTAATTGTTTTAAAACTTTCTAGACACTGTCGGAGATGTTATAAGTATTAATCTAAAGCTGTTTCATTATAATGTCGATTGTAATTATACTATTATCTATACGGGATGGTTATCTGGATTATAAAAAAAGTTACGAAAGTCTTGTCAAGAATTATTTTCTTAATTCAATAATATTAGTGTAATATACCATAATTGGTCAATAAAATAGAAAAGGTGTTGCTCCACTCTAGTAATTATTTTTTGACATTTCCTTTCCACCATTTGTGTACCCAATCCATACCGGGTACGGACAGATTATCCGGTATGGGCACCTATAATGGAATTTCGGGCAATTTATTTTTGGAGACCCATAAAAAAGAAATAATAATAATAATAAATAGATCATCCTATCCACCATATAGTAAACATACTTTCACAGCCAGAATTTGTTAATATTATAGTATGCTAAAAGCTTTGTTTTTTTTGTTTTTGTAAAAAGGTTTTGTCTTGTTTTCTTTTGCTCTAAGCATCAAAATTCCAAAATTTATAAATTTTGTTATTTTAAAACTACTTGATCCGGTACAAATGAAGAATGTTTTCATTAAAACTTGTCATATCTTCTTAAAGTGAAAACTTCTTTAGAAGCGCTCTGCACTTTTTTTGTGGGCAGTGAATGAGAATGAGCTGTGACACTCCAATATGTAACGCCCATACGAGTAAAGTCGACTAATTAAAGTGTTTTTGCATTACGACTAAAATATCTCTTAAACTAAAATGTAACGAGGAAAATTTTCAGAATTCTCTTTTTGTTTTGACATGACGCCGAGTTAGACAGTCGGAAAGGGAAAAAGAAGAAAAAAAAAAGCGCAAAAAAATAAATAACGACTGTTTTGAACATTGCATACTTTTAATTTCATATTATTAATCCTGCCTTGATGTTTCACTTCCATCGTTTGGTTTTAAGCACACACCATTTTTTTTTTTTTTTTTTTATCTCAGGTTGCTTCGGGCAACGCATATTTTGTACACGCATTAGCTTGGTCGACCACCCTGCCCGAACTTTTCATACCTTTTTTTTTCGTACTCCCCTTCCTTGTCTTTTAGGTTATACAGCGTTTTCCCTTACCACCAGGGGATGAGTGCGGGAAATTAGTTCCAGAGTTAAAAGATCTCCTGGCACGGTGCTTTGCACACGCATTAGGCCTGTAGGCAACCCCGCTCTAACAAAGTTCGCATACTTTTTTTTGTGATCAGTTCCTTGCCTTTTAGGCTGCACGGGGTTTTTCCCGGTCTCGGGGAGAGGACGGAGGAATTATGCCGGGTTAATATTCCAACCAGGATCCGAACTCACAATATTTTTCAGTCTAAATTCGGTTATGAGGCTGCCGGGCAACGCGCGGTGCTGTGAATAGGCCCACTCGGCCACCCCTCCGCCAAAACTTCTTATACCTATAATATTTTTACATTTTCTTACTTGTTTATTGATGTAGTATATTTATCTCCCTTATTGTCCTCATGGCAAGATGTCTATTAACCCCTTCACATTTACAACCAACCACCCTTATATAAAGTATTCGAATCAATCGATCAACACATTCAAATCAAAATTTATGTATTGAATTTGTTGAACTAGATCCCATTCATAACCAAAGCCTGTTGTTGAATCTAGGCCAGATACGTTAACATCAACGGGGAAAATGATAGAGTCATTGCCATGGTGACGTAAATAATAAAACGCAACAGTGGCGATAACTGTATCGAACCATCATAACGCGTGTTCCTTCAATTCACATGATAAAAATAGACCCTAAATAAATATTTACGGTTTCAGATTTCGCTTATAATATACTGATAAGAGATTATTTCCATTATTATATTGAAATAACAGTTCTTTTTATACGTGCGTAGCAAAATAATTAAAGATAAAATATCTTTTGATTGTGTTTTAGATAATCGTATATTTACGAGGAAATATATCTGTACTATCTAGTATTATTCATTTATTTATTAAATGGAAGCTGCTGGATCATCCAGCGCAACTCACAAAAGTATGAATGAAGTATCACCTCCACTTCATGACCTAAATATTTTTATGTTTCCTTATTGTATGGATTTTTTTTTTTCAATTCAAAATCCCCTCCGGCACCGGGACGCGAACTCGTACTTTTTATATTATCTCAAATCTCTATTATCCGGTTGCCAAGCAACTAGCAGTGCTGTTACACACTCTTTAGCCTATTCGGCCACCCCGCCCCCCTTATTGTATGGAATAATAAACAAGAAACAATCTATTAACAAATTTCAACTCCTAAATCACTTCAGCAGATATAGTTGCGTAATTAAAGTCGAATACACCCTGAAGCTAACCAACACTCAGTGTAAGCAACTTCTTAATTCATAACAATTTTCTCGTCATATTCAAAATATTTTATTCTTATACTCCGCGGGCACATGGCTATTTTTATCAAATTGTTAAAATCCATCTCAAACTATGGGCAAGACTTCATCTGATCGTAGCCTGTTACATTTTTATTTACGAAAATACTCGGAAATGAGCATTTTCAATTTGAGGGTGGGTAAGCTTTGCCTGTTTAATTAGGTATTAAAAATTCAAGAACACTCATTGACTTTCCACTTTCATAATAACATAATTTCATCACAAAATCGAGCAAAAAAA